TCTTCAAACAAGTGGTTCGAGTGCGGGGAAGGCCAGAGGAGATTATCTTAGATCGAGATAAAATCTTTATTAGTAAGTTCTGGAGAACCCTCCTGAAACAGTATCGCACCAAGTTGAAATTCAGCACAGCCTATCACCCACAGACAGGTATGGGGTATTAAGTCAAGTTGATGGCACTAACACTTCTTGATAGACGGACAAACGGAAAGGGTGAATAGGAAGCTGGATGATTATTTGCGATGCTATGTCTCAGGAGACCAGACCGATTGGGTAAGTCATTTGGGACTTGCGGAAATGTGTTATAACAACTCACCACATTCGAGCATCGGGGTGAGTCCATGGGAAGTCATCAATGGGTGAGCTATTGAAGGTACTGTGGAACTCAGCGTGGCCGAGTATCATGGAGAGTTACCCGCAGTGGAGGCATTCACGGCGGAAAGACTCAACATTTGGAATCTAGTGAGGGATTCCTTGGAACGGGCTCAACAAAGGCAAACCAAGTACGCGAACTAGAAGCGCCGGGACGTAGAGTTCCAAGCTGGGGAGAAGGTGTGGCTGAACACCAAGAACCTCAGGCTACCAAGTGGGATTAGCTGGAAGATGATCCAACGGTAAAAATGCATGTATTCCTGTAAAGCTGAAGAACATCCCACCAAGCTCGCGTCGCCGACCTGTTCCATATTTTAGTTAGATTGTTTGAAGTCAATGCCCTAAAACCTTTAGAAAGGTGGCAAGAGCATATTCTCCGAATCTTTTACTTTACCAAACAGAAGAGCCTCGAGATTATCTCGTTCGACACTAGAAATCCGTTTGGATCCGTCAGCCTGCCGTACACAGCCCTCGCTCGCTCCGCCGTACACTCCCTCGAAGCGTCCAAGAACACTACATTCCCACTCGCCACAAACTCCGCGAGCCCATCGCACAACATCCCTGCCAATTCACTCCCAAACTCCGCCTCGAATCGCCGCAGGTCGATCCCCTCCGCCAGCCGGAGAGCCAGCATCACGGTGTCAAGGATCCGATCCTCCACACTCTCGGGAAGAACGGCTTCCGTACGTGATCCCTCCAAACTTTCGGGAAGAACAGGTGATCCCGCTGCTAGAGCTTCCACAAACTTGGCGTACTCTCTCATTCTCTTGCTCCTCTTGACCCTCTTTCCATCCACGAAGCTCGTGGATCCCAGCCCGTACGCGTAGTATCCCTGGTTCTTCCAGTAGACGAGATTGTGGCGGCACTGGAAGCCTTTCCTCGCGTAGTTGCTGATCTCGTAGTGATCGTAGCCGGCTTCCCGGAGCATTGACGATCCCAGCTTGAAGAACTCGGCCGAGTCGTCGTCGCTGGGGAGTGGATCCATGCCCGGCTTGTAGAGATTCCCAAACTTGGTGCCTTGCTCGATCTGGAGATCGTAGATCGAGACGTGGGCCGGGGACGCAGCGATCGCTTGCTCGAGAGATTTCCTCCAGGACGCTAGAGTGTGGTGAGGGAGCGAGGAGATGAGATCCAAGCTCCAGTTTTGCAGCGAGTCTTTGATCCACTCGATCGACTGGAAGACGTCGTCCAGGCAGTGGGATCTTCCGCAGAGCTTGAGGAGATCGTCGTCGAAGGCCTGGACGCCGAGAGAGACCCTGTTGATCCCGCACGACTGGATCGCCTCCGCGAGGTAGTCCCGGGAGAAAGTTCCTGGATCCATTTCCATGCTGATTTCCATCGGTGCGTCACGCGAGAAGCCGTGCTTGGCTTCCAGCGCCTGGATGATCCGCTGGAGCAGCGGGATTGGAATGAGCGATGGCGTACCTCCACCGAAGAAGACCGTCTGGAGAGCGCCTCTCGAAGGCGAGCGCTCGGCGGCGATCTCCTGGCACACCAGATCGACGTAGCTCTCCATGGTGGAGCCGGCATTGGAGCTCGACTCGCCCAGCGCGACGATCGGGAAATCGCAGTAGTGGCATCGGCGCTTGCAGAATGGGAGATGCACGTACGCGGCCGTCGGCAATGCGGCAGGAATCACAGACCCCTCGCAGGCAAGAACCCTAGAAGAGTAGTGTCTCACCTTGCGGGGAAGGAGAAGAGCGTGCCCGCGGGCGCACGCCATAGCCAGCAAGAACCCTAATTCTTTGGTCAGCCCTAGTCAACATACTCAACGGTGGTCAAATCTACCAGCTAGCTCGCACCGATTGGGTATGAGAACTTTGTCAACAGTGCCTGCATTGAAAAACTTGGCATTGCTTGCTGTCAAATTCTCGAGAATTATTTTGGGGGTTTGAAAAGCCTGAAGAACACGGAAACTTGAATGCCTCCAATCTCGATTATTTGATCCGTCCATCCCAAGAACACACCACCACCACCACCACCACTGCCCATGTGTGTAGATCCCCTGTCGTACACATACGCGCTAATACCGTACGCGAGACAATCCATAGAAAACTCTGTCCGGACAGTGGCCAAGTACAAGGAATCCTTTGGATTGTCAAAGCTATTCCACAATTATAAGAACTGACAAGGAGGAATTTCAAGGGCAGCTTCCAATCCACATTCCAGCTGGAGTGAAATGGAAGGGATGTCCCATGAGAAAATGATTGGTTGACCAACCAAGAACCCTAAAAACAGAGCATAGAACCCAAACAGAGCATATGTACACTTCCGGGAAATCTAGTCTATAGAGCTGCGATGGATCACAGTGGATTGCAAGAATGTGGCCAGAGCCGGTCGTCCATCCTGTCGACCTCGTCTATCGGGCTGCCGAGAGGCGAATTGGCCATGAAAACCTGCGGCAGATCAAAGATCCACTCGTTGTCGCAGTAGAAATCCAGCCAATTTCGCTGCTCCTCGGCCATGGCCTCGACCTCCACGATTTCCTGCTCCTGCATTGCGATCCTGGGCTTCTTCTCTGCGAGGAACACGACCTCATCGTCGCGATCGTCCTCTGGATTTTGGGAGAAACGTCCACTCTCTTGTTGCTCCATTCCAAGGATTTGCTCTTGGAGGGACAGCGTCCTGGAGGAGGAATCTTGCTCCTCGGTAGAGCGATCCATCGATGCGGTAGCAGCCGCGGCTGCAGCAGCCTGGATTGCCTTGATCTGCGGCGCCAGTGGATCATCGGACGAGGAATTGGCGGTGGAGTGATCAAAGAATGCGGCGAGATTGGGCAAGTGGTGAATGGAATCCTGGAAGTTGAGCGCGGGAAGGGCGGAGGAGCCCTTGAGATAGAGAACCGCCGCGTCGTACGCCCGCGCCGCCATCTCGGGGGTGGCGAAGCTCCCCAGCCATATCCGGGCTTGCGTGGTGGGCTCGCGAATCTCCGACACCCATTTGCCCCACGTCCTCATCCTCACGCCCCGGTACTTTTTCTTGCTCGCTTCGCCGCAGCCGGGCATTGGGTGATCAATCATCGATCGCTTCTCGGCGCCCATGATAGGATTGGATTGGAATTGCTCCTCCTCTTTCGGATTGGATCCAATTCTAATCGATTCTAGTTGGGGAATTTCTTGTCTAGCTTTGGAAGAGCAGAGGCTATGAAAAAGAGGGAATTCACCTCATCACTCCTTCCACATTGTGCGCGCAAGAAATAATTGTTGCTACCTTCTCTCAAATCAGACTCTCAAGAACAAAGATTGAGAGGATAGATCAGGGATTGATTAGAAGGAATTCTACTCCACATTGCACAATATGATCACGATTCTTCTTCCCTCCCTTTCAGCCCAAGAAGAGCGCTCTATTCTTCCCTCAATCCAGCGCAAGAACAAAGATTCTATCACGAATGGAATGGAAAAACAACGCTCTGGGATCACTCACCCGACACGTATGGATCGAATTTAAGCCAAACAACACAAGAACAGCCAAAGACGTATCTCATCTCATGTGATGCCTAGTGCCCCCTTTTTATGTTGTTTTGGCTGGGATTCGGCCCAATCTGGTCCAAAACCCAAGCATGGGTCACACACGTCATCCGTACACTGTACGAGCCCCACCTCTAGTCGAATATCGAGAGCTGGCATTTGCTGGCTATGTTACGCCATGCTTTTGTTCTTTCCATTCCCTTAAATTATAGTATAATAACATTGTCTTTGACTAGATTGATCTTCTAAGAGAAAAATTTCCCAACATTTATGTGTAGAACCTCTCATGCAAAGGTTGAAAACGTTGCTGCGGTTCTCTATATAAAATTTCTGGCCAGCTCAAGGGAGCCATGCGAAGATTCCATTGAGCTTCTCCTTCCATGGTTTCGGTGCTAGGTGTGAGAATTTATCATATGCACAAAAAGGAAGCTCCAGCGCCATTGTCAGGCGCGAATCGAGCAAGAAAAATGGAGTGACATCAAGGTTGACATAAAAGGTTGGCGGGTTATAAATCACATTTTCAAATTTGTGTGAGTTGTTCTCCATTCTGAGAGATCTCTGGAGCTCATGACGTTTTCTGGCATTCTTCTTGGCAATTGCCCTCATGGTCAAAACGAAATAGCGAAGTTCCACCGTGTAAAAATCTCATATTTTGACTATGAGTATCCTCATGGGCCGATATTCCATATAGCCTCATAACATAATCTAGATCGAATAGATTCAGGTTCCCGTGTGCGAAGATCCTTGAAAAGGTGAAAATGAGCTCCATCACCCCACCACAGGGAAAACTGGTGAAAACGATCGCTCAAGAGATCGGGTATCACATTTTGGGCTTGTCTCGTTGTGATAAACTTTCTTGACGGTCAAGCCGATACACCAGTCAATTTTGGTATAAAGCAATACGTGCATCTGGTTTTCAAAACAAAAAGCATATATGCTGCGCGTATTTGTGTCCCTGTTGTAGAAAAGGCCCTCTTTCATATCCAGATCTCAGATCTTATACACGCATTCTCTAAGTTGTGGCTGCTGGGATTCGAGCCCAGGTCTGCATGGCGGAATTATCCAAAAGGTGAGTTTAATGATATAGACCTAAATCCTATGTAAAGGAAAAGGCAGAAAGCACTGTATAAACCAGAAGCCCCATTGCTAGGGTTATCACTCAAAATGGCACAAGAAAAAGAGATCAGGTGCTTCGTTTGCGGGGCTGTTGCGGGAGCCACGTCTAGAACCGTGACCGCGCCTCTGGATCGTCTACGAGTCCTCCTCCAGACCAACACGACGAGCAGCCCGATGACCGTCCGTCAAGGGATGCAACACATATACCAGAAAGGTGGCCTGGCCGGGTACTACGTTGGGAATGGCATGAATGTCCTCAAACACTTCCCGGAGGCGGGCGTGAGGTTCTTGACGTTTGAGAGGCTCAAGAGCGTGGCAGCAGATCTACAAGGGGTAAAGGAATCGGATCTAGGACCGGTTTCTAGGTTTCTCGCCGGAGGTTGCGCGGGTGTTCTGACCACGGTCGTGGCATACCCATTCGAGGTGGTGAAGACAAGGATACAAGTCTCCAGCGATGCAAAAACGAGCGCTCTAAAGTTGACAAGGGAGATGTGGGTGCGTGAAGGTGGCTTCTCTTTGTACAGGGGATTGCTTCCCTCGGTGATGGGGATCTTCCCCTATGCTGGTTTTGACTTTGCGATGTATGAGACGCTTAAGAAGGGCATCTTGGAGAGAGGCTTGATTGACTCGGATTCGAAGTATGCCCCGCTGGTACATATGGGGTGTGGGATTGTATCGGCGAGCATTGGAACGACTTTGGTGTATCCTTTACATGTGGTGAGGACTAGATTGCAAGCACAATCCACGGTAGCAAATGGGTCAGAGGAATTATACAAGGGAATGAGGGATGTTTTCAAGAGAACTTATGCAAGAGAGGGTGTGCGGGGGTTCTACAAAGGGCTCTTGCCAAATCTGTGCAGGGTGGCACCAGCAGCGAGTGTGTCATATTGTGTTTACGAGCAAATGAAGAAGCTGCTAAATGTAGAGACGTCCTGAAGAATTTGATCGTTCTAGTTCAGTTGACAATGTATAAGTAAAGGACTTGATCGTTCTAATGGATAAATAGTTTATGGATTTGAAAAAGCTCAATACATCGTGATCTTGCTTGATTATAGAATAGATCTCTTGAATCTCTTGTATAACATATCGTGAAAGCTAGCAAATGAATAAGTTCTTATCATTCCAATCATATATGGAGATTTTGTTTGATCAATCGGTTTTAGAGGACGTAGCCGCCGCGGTCTCGTGCTCAAGCTTGGTGGCTGACTCCTTGAGAACTTCGGTAACATCGTCAGCCATGTCCTTGTAGTGATTCTTGGACGATCCACAAGCATTGCTACACCAATTCACCATGGCCATTGGATAGCTGCCCAATGTCTCCATTGTGAAATTCCCCTTGTTCTAGATGAGAAAAGCGAGAATTTGTCACGCCACAAGAAAACCTTATCTAGTTTTTGACTTACTTGATCCAGAGCTTGCGAGAGGTTGTCTTTGAGGTTGCCCTTGATCTCGCTGGAGCCTGTCTTGAAATTGTCGGCATATCCTTCCACTCGATGGACCGCGCCCTTGACGAACTCCTTGGCGCTCCCGGCGGCCTTGTGTGCCTCGTCCAGAACCAATTCCGCGACCTCCTTTACCTTATCCTGCGAGTTCTTCACCCCGGCCTTGATTGCCTCCTCAGATTTCTCCTTGGCTTCCTTGGCGGACTCGAACAGCTCGTGGGCAGTCGCGGAGAAATCCATGCTCTTGAATTTCTCCATTAGACCAATGTAGCCTTGATGAACAGTGTCGAATGGAAATTCAACGCTTTTGCTTGGCTGGCTTCTAGGTGGGACTTACACTCGCCATGTTCACTCCAGCAAAGAAAAGAACAGAAACATGCGATAAGAATTATTACAAGATAAACCAAACCATTTGATCCATAAAAGATCATTTGGTTATTAGCAAATAAAAATACATTATTCAAATCTTATCATGATTACATTTAACTTAATATTTATTTATTTTCTCATTTTCTTATCTAGATTTTGGAGTCACCATTGCTTCGAGTGGTTTCTTTGGCCAAATCACAGAAACGCTGCTTTCAGCAACATCGTAGTCCCTTCCAGCAACACAGCTCCAGTCGAACCCATGGAGCAAATTCGCAAGTCCAATTTGGACAACCTTCAAACCGAGTGTCAGTCCCGCGCAAGTTCTCCGCCCAGCTCCAAATGGAATCAGCTCGAAGTCCTGACCTCGGACGTCCATGCTCGAACCAACAAACCTCTCTGGCGAGAACTCCATTGGATTCTCCCACAGGCCTGGATCCCTTCCAATAGCGTAGACATTTACAAAGGTGTTGGCACCTTTCGGGATGTGATAGTTGGATATAACACACTCCTGAGTGGACATACGTAACAGGAGTGGTGCAGGAGGATGGAGCCGAAACGTTTCTTTCACAATCGCTTGGAGGTAAGTCAGATGCTCAATGTCTGATTCTTCTACCAGGCGATTGGTCTGACCCACAATGGATTCAAGCTCATGCTGGGCTTTTTCAAGAACATCTGGATTCCTTAGAAGTTCTAGTATAACCCACTCGATCACACAGGCAGTGGTATAAGTTCCAGCTCCAACTAGTTCCTGGCACGATCATACTCTAGAATTCAGCACAGAGAGAGAGAGAGAGAGAGAGAGAGAGAGAGAGAGAGAGATTACCATGATGGTACCTCTGGCATTGTCAAGATCATTTCCACCTCCATCGCCTTCAGTATCATTCTCAAGAAGAATGTCCAGGAAATCCTTTGTGCCTCGGGAACTTTTGGTTTTCCTGTGCTCGTCTAAAATCTTTTGGATGACAATGTTTTCCCTTGCGGCGATTCGTTTCACTGCTGGGATTTTCCAGTCAATCCATCTGACCCAAGCCGGTACAAGCTCGCTTATGTGGAATGCGAAGCCAAACTTGATAATCTCTTCCATAACTTCCATGAACTCCATAGCTTCCTCCTCGTTCACAGTGTTCTTCTCCCCAAAAAACCTCTTGCTCATGACAATCCTCGTTATTGTGTTGAAAGTGTAGCTCCGGACAAGCTCTCTCACGTTCACCACTCTCGACTGGTTGTCGATCAAAAAAGAAACCATGGAAGCCAGCTCTTCGCGTCTCACCTCCAAGAACGAAGCCAAGCGATTTGCCGTGAAGAGCTCCGCGTTGAAGAGCTTCTTCATTCTTCTCCAGTGCTCGTTAGGGGGTGACAACACCATGCTTTTGGAGCTGTAGACGTAATCGCCCAAGAGGAAGTATGGCCTACCAGAAAATGTTTGATCATGGGTTTTGAGTGCCTCTCTCGCTGCCGCGGAACTGGAGATTAGAATCGCTGGCACAAGCCCCAATCTCAGGCACACAATGTCTCCAAACTTGTTGGACAGCTCTTGGAGAGAGATGTGGGGCTGCCTTCCCAAGAGATGGAGGTGGCCGATCAATGGCAAGCCCCTTGGAGATGGTGGCAGCAGTTTGCGTGGCTGGAGGAAGGGCCTGACCAAGAGGTAGAACAGAAATACGGAGCCAAGAAGAACATACACAAGGAATTCCATATTCTAATTTTTGAATTGATGCACAAGAAATGTAGGGTTTGATCTTTCCGGTAGTTGAATCTAAAAAAATTGATTATTTGGTTGACTTTGGATATATATAGCTAAATTTATTACAATAAGTGTCAATTTGCAAAATTAATCTGGAAGGTGACAGTTTTAAAATATATGAATATAATGGCTTAAAAGTTGATCTGGAATACTATTTACTTCTGACTTTGCAGAGTTTTATACAAGCCCTGTAACATACAAGCTTGCAGCAAAGACGATATCTCTTTTAATAAGGTTGGAAGCTTCATCCATTTTGTTGAAGAGCGTCGTGTCTCCCATAATCCGCGCCGCGTTCTTAATCTCTCTACATGTCTCGTCCAATCGGACTATAGTTCTCACCACCAGACCTTCGGAAACGTCGGTCATCTCACAAATTGTTGAGAATGGAGTTCCCTGCAACACAAAAGAGTCAACGAAGGAAGAAGAAAGTGCCTGGAATGCAAATGCTTATAATTTACCTTTGCCCATTCATACACCACTTCCATGAGTCCAAAATGGAGGGCGTCACGAGCGTAGTCTTCGGCGTGTGAAACAAGCCCATGGCTCACTTGCAAATCTCCAAGCTGCAACGCTGTGTTGTAAAGCCTGAGAGAAAAGAGTAGAAAAACACAAGTAGCACACGATAACCATTAAACGATTACCTTGTTTTCGCAGCCGCGAGCTTTTCAGTGAGGACAGGCTCGCTAGTTTCACGCTGCTGGAACACCAGCGAGGACAACAAGGCGATCGATTCAGCAGCGTTAAGATCCGCAAGCTGGTTGTCAAAGAGGCACTCCGCCGCGATCAGCTCATCGCCAGTGTTGAACTCGCACGTCACACGGCCTTTGAGCTGAACGATGAGCTCCGAATCGATGCAGCCAACGTCCTGGAGAACATCCATCTGCCATCCACATTTGTGTAGCAAAGTCAAAAACCAAACAACGGCTGCCAAGGAAGAATACTTACACGACGCTGAAACTCTGGCATTTGTTGTAATGCGTTGTCTGAAACATCGAATTTAAGCTTGTCCACGCGATCTCTCAGCAGCTGTCGGTTCTTGATAATCGAGTAGTGCTCTTGCAGCTTTGGACACCGATGGCACTTGTTTTGTGCCATAAGCTCCGTGATGGCTTGCTTCTTCTTGTACTTTTCGACGGCATCGATATCGTTGAGCTTCAAATCTGAAAGACAATGCGTTAGTCAAGTTTTGCTAGTCAAGAGCATCGAAAGTAATTACCTTTTACGGGATCAAGAGGTGGAGGATCTGCCGGATAAAGTCTCTCAAGTTCTGTGAGGGCTTGCAGTACAGCCGAGATGGCCATAGTGCTTTCTTCTTCTAAGATCCGATTGGCATCAACCCGGATTTTCTCCTTCGAGATGCTGAGAAACTCCTGGCCACTGGTCTCTGCGACCAGAAAGGAGACTCCTCCCACCGTTCCGTAGTGCGGCATCGTCAACCGAATGACACCTGAAGATTTCTTGGACCCCGAAAAAACTGCGAACTCGTCGTCGTCGTTCTTGTTCTTCTTGCTGATGAAATATCCTCCATCTTGATCAAGCTTTTTAGTTGGAGGCTGAAGTTTTGCTGAGGCTGGAACTGCACCACGGTAAAGTGTCAAAACGATGCTCATTTTTGTTGTCCCGCTAGGTCCTCTTAGGACAACACCCAAAGCTGGAACTGGGTACTGTAAAGAGAAAATCACTAGTGCACGAAAGCAGCGTAGAAATATGACTTACGATAGTCGTCTTGACAGTGACTATTCGTCCCGGTATAAGAGCTTGCTGTGCTGCACGGGAGTTCATCACTTTTTCCTGAATGCTCTCTCCGAGCATATCTGCCTCGCTTGCTAATTTGTAATAATCTTCAATCGTGGGGTCGCCAAGAATACATTCTATCGTTGCAGCCATTTTTGAAAGCTCGCCCTCTTGTCTAAGAAGTTGCTGCTGTTGCTCAGGAAGTGCACGTTGGGCATGAAATTCCGCAAAACTGCGTTTGAGCATGTCTTCGACCTACAAGGAGAGTTGACATTGAAAAAGCGAAAAGAAAGAAAACAATCGGTTCATTGTACCTTCAACTCCTCTACTCGAAGAAGGTTCAGAATCATCGTGTAAGTTAATCTAAACTGTGATTCCAGTTTCGTGGCCTTCCCAGTCAAGAGACGTCTTAAATCTCCTTCGTCGGGTATGTCATCCCAACACATAACTATTACAGTTCCTACCTGAAGTAAAAAGAGGTGAGAATGACTGGCCTAGCAAGAAGAGTCCCATATTTACCGTGTCAAGGCCTCTTCGCCCGGCTCGGCCCGCCATCTGAGTGTACTCGCCTGGATAAAGCTGCCTAAATGATTTACCATCATGCTTCCTGAATCCATGAAATGCAACCTGCATCTCATACGAATAAGTATATGATAATCTCAACTGCATGGCTATCTTACCGTTCTGGCAGGTGCATTGACTCCCATTGCGAATGTCTCAGTAGAGAACAAGACCTGCACTTCCAGTTAGAAAGGACCACTTCAGAAACCTTACGAACTCATCACCTTGATTACGCCTCGGCAAAAGAGCATCTCCACTACCTCTTTCACAATAGGAAGTAAACCAGCGTGGTGAACTCCGATACCTCGCTTCAGCAATTCTTCAATCCGAAGGACCTATAAAATACTTCGAGCATAAGTACTGAGCTAGAAGATACGTACACACCTGAGGAAGTTGCCTATCCGTGCCCTTGAGGCGTGAAAAGGCCTTGTTACAGAAAACGCGAATCACTCCTTTTTCTGTTGATGTTGTCAAATCTGATCCGGTTAAGCTGTCTGCTGATTGATCGCAGCGAGATTTTGAAAAACAGAACACCACCACCTATACAGAGAACCAAATTACACAACATAAGAATGTAATGCAAGAAAATACGTACAGGCAACAAGTTCTTTTTTGATAGTACGTTGATGAGTCCATACCACTGGGAAGTCTCAGAACGCCATGGACCGCCACGACTGTTTTTCTCCTCTGGAATGACTTTGTTCCCTCTGCCCCCTCTGCCACCAGGTCCGCCTCTCCCCTGAACATTTCCCCGTCCTCCTTGTGTAGGTGCCACAGGACCTTTTTTCACTGCTGTTTTCGCTAAATGTGCATCCTTGGCAGCCTTGACACCGAGAGGTAAGAAAGTCTCGTTTGCACATATTCTATGAAGCTCTCCCGAATAAAACAGACAGTGCTCCAAAGGAACTGGTCGTTTAGTCGTCCTGCGCATAGAAAGTTCAGACGCTGGGAAACGCAATGGAGAGCATGCATACCCAGTTACGTATATCTTCTTTTGCTTTGTGCGACCAACCCAATCAGCAAACTCCCTAATGTTAGGCACCTAAAACAGTCACAATAAGAGGCAAGAAGATTGTAAACAAGAAAATTCTTACCGTAGCTGATAGTAAAACAAGATTGACATGCTGGGGAAGCATGATAATGACTTCTTCCCATACAACACCTCGCTCAGCATCATTTACGTAATGGACTTCATCAAAAACTACCTGTGACGTCGATCGTAAAGAAAGATTGAGAATCAACTGGGAGAATACATACCCATTCTATATCCCGTACAAGGTCCGCTCCCTTGTAAAGCATAGAGCGGAGAATCTCTGTGGTCATAATCAGGCAGGAAGCCTCGGGTCGTATACTCACGTCCCCAGTCAGAAGTCCGACATCAAACTTCTCACTAAAATCACGATACTTCTGATTGCTGATGGTTTTGATGGGGGACGTATACACTGCCCTTGTACAATGCTGGAATAAGAGAGTCAGACTTACAAAGCTAGAATACATTAGCGGAGCATACCTTTGCAGATAATGCAAATGCATATTCAGCAACAACTGTCTTGCCCGCTGATGTGTGTGCAGCAACAAACACGGATTCATTTTTCTCAAGGTGATAGATTGCCTGCGGAAGGTAATTCAAGACTTCATAGTACGACTCGAGATGACGTACCTCTTTTTGAAACTTGTCAAGTTCAAAAGGAAATTGGATTGCCATATCTGGTATAAGCTCCAAAAACCTTTCTGCTACACCACTATCTCCGTCCATAACCACCCATTCCTGAAAAATAGTTCCATGTCAGAAAATGTTTTTCATTTGTAACCAGCTATATTACCTGTTTAGCCTCTGCCTTCGGCACAGGAGCAGCCTCGACCGTTTCAGTTGCAAGGATTTTATCAACTTCAGACTCGGGTTCCACTTCGTCCTTTAATACAACCTCGTCGATGGGATCTGAAAAACGTTGCAAAGCCTTGCTTGAAACATAAAGGAATTACCAATGGTTTACCTTCGTCATCGACCTCACTATCATCTTCCAGCATTTGATGTTCCCATGCCTTCCGAAATAAGTCTTCGTAATGTAGGACACTGTCCTTCTGTGTAGAAATCACACTGTTCAGGAAAGAAGACGAACATCGTTTCGAAAGAGCAAACCTTTTCTGGTTCCTTGAATGTCTCTGCAGAAGACACATCCGACTTCTTGGACCATGTAAATGGCTGCAGCATATGAAGTTTAGTCAAAATATGTTGCTAATACTTTTGCATACCTCAGGGACACCAAGATTGGATAAACCCCGTTTAAAACCCGGAGCAACAGTCTGCAGTGGTTTGCCTTCTAAAACTTCGGCTAGCCATTCTCCGTTCTGTGCGCCTTCGGGAATAATTTTTTCGCCAAGATCAACTCCACCTGGTCGAAACGGTTGATTGCTCGAACTTCCACGGACAAAGTCGGCCGGATTTCCTGGCTTCCGCAACATCGATGAAGCAGCGTCGCTTCCATACTCAGGCTTGATCTGGAGAAAGAAGCAAAAGCAAGAAAATCATTAAAAAAAATGGAAGAGAAACACTTGAAAGGCTTCGATCAACATACCTGCTCAAACTCAGGAACCCAAACTCTCCCTTGCTCTTCCGACGTACGATACTCACTCTCCTTTCGTCTAAACGGCGGCTTCCACACCGGAGAAATCGTAAGCGGTGCCAGAGACGGCTCATAGAGATAAAATCCATCTCCAAACCAGTCGACCTCCCAGTTTTTTCCTGTCCGTTTCACGTCATCAATCTCCCTGTCCAGCCGAGGAACTAGATATTTCTCCTCGATCTCTGCAAGAATCCCCGCGGAGGTCTGGGGAGGCTGCACTGGTGGCTGCCAAAAACACGAATGCCGATCAAGGAAACGATCACTGTCTGAAAATACTCACCAAAATCAGCTCAGGAAGATCGTCTAAGGGATTGCTCCGCGAAATCGAAGGCAATATTTCGACCTGGAGCTCACCGCTGTATCCCGCGACGCCGATCTTGAATGGAAGCTCGCCTCCTGGAGCAAGATCGATAGATCAGAGAGGAAGAAACACGAGCTCGAAGAGATACCTAGCTTGGGAGGCGCCATTCGCTCCTCGCGGAGAAAAAAATAGAGGGAAAAATTATTTGGTTTGCCCTAGTTTTATATACCCAAGCCCTTTAGGATTAGGGTTCTTGCTGGAAGGAGAAGAAGGCGCCACGCCACGACAATGCCGTCGGCCCCGCGGTGCGATCAGGTCAGCTGAGCGACAGGGAGCGATGATTTCGAGTAGATCTCCAGCTGGGATGAGAGGATGAACGCGAATGGGTTAGGATTCATGCGTCGCTCGTCGGGCGCAACCGCATCGACATCGGCATCGTCATCGGCAGCTACTGCCGCGGCGGAATCCTCGTCCGGCAGGATGGATTTCGCCAAGCTACAGTCGCGACCGAGCTCGGCATTCGTTCCGCCGCACAAAACCCAGCTCCCTCCCAGGTATCACTTATCTCTCAGCTCCGGCGGTGGTGCTGCGTCGCATTCTCATCGGCAGCAATGGCAGAGGAGGATCTGGGGGGCCGTGACGCTCATCCTCGCGGTCTCGGCTCTCTTCTATTTCTTCTCGGTCTTTGGAGGGCCGCGCCGCCAACAAAACTCCAGAGGCCATGCGATCGTGATCGACGCTGGGAGCTCCGGGTCCCGGCTCCACATCTTTAGCTACAAGGTGGAGAAGCTCTTCCCCCACATTGATACGCAAGACATCCCATCGCTCAAGACAAAGCCCGGGTTGTCATCTTTCTCGTCGAATCCACAACAGGCTGGGGAGTCGCTGGTGGAGCTGCTGGACTTCGCAAACGCGAGGATCGCGAAGAAGGATAGAGGACAGACGAGACTATATCTCATGGCCACTGCTGGTTTGAGGCGGCTGGAGAAGAACATCCAAGACGATATCATTGAGTCTTGTCGATCGGTGCTTCGCAAGTCTGATTTCATGTTTGAAGATAGCTGGGCCTCGGTTATCACTGGTAAGCTTCTTTCTCTTCTCTTCTTTGCTTTTATCTTTTCTTTGTGTTGTATGCTCACAGTTCTCTCGTGTATCCTTGCAGGCACAGAGGAGGGAATTTTTGCGTGGGTTTCTGCAAATTACGCTCTTGGCACGCTTGGTGGCGATCCACACGCGACTACTGGAATAGTGGAGCTTGGTGGCGCGTCTGCTCAGGTAAGCCTTTCGAATGTTTACGTCCTTGCGTTTCACTAATCCTTGTTTGATCAGGTGACATTTGTGCCAGATTCACCATTTCCTCCAGAGTTTCTGCACTCTTTGGAGTTTGGTGGAGTCAATTACAAACTCTACACGTACAGTTTTCTTCACTTTGGTCAAGAGGCTGCCTGGGACAATTTACTTCAGCTATTGCTCTCCGGGGCGGTGAAACCAAGTATGGCAAGCTCAGTTATTTTCTCTAAGTTGAGTGGTAACTGGACGCGACTGCAGGATTAAAGGCTAAACCCGGCGTGGTGATTGATCCGTGTACTCCGGCCGGCTATGTGATGAACTCGGAGCTTCTAGAGAAGATTGCAAACACTCTACCGGGGCCGAACCAAGTCAAGGTCTCCACGGTACTTTCGTCTGGAAACTTTTCTGAGTGCCGGAGAGCTGCTCAAGAACTTCTTCAAATGGGCGAAGGTACGCTAGTCTTCTTTCTCTCCGGATGAATAACCTGTGTAACTCTTACCAGACCAATGCCTACATGAGCGATGCGCGATTGGATCCACGTTTGTCCCGGATCTCCGTGGAAAGTTTTTTGCGACAGAGAATTTCTTTTACACGTCCGAGGTTTGTTTCTTCTACAAGTTTCTCTTTAAAGCTCTCTCGCTTCGTTTCTTCCAGTTCTTTGGACTGCCGGCAACCACTTCTTTGGCCGACGTAGAAGCCGCGGGTGATTTCTACTGCGGCGAGCAATGGACAAAGCTCAAGGACAAGCACGTCGGAATCCAAGAGGAAGACTTGTTAAAGTATTGCTTCTCCACGGCTTACATCGTTGCGCTGCTTCACGACAGGCTCGGGATTGCCATGCACGACGAAAGGTAGCGTAGCTTTTTTGCCTCTCTTCTTTCGAAGTTCTCGATAAGTAACAATCTCTCCTGGCCAGGGTGCGCTTCACGAACAAAGTCGGCAACGTTCCACTCGACTGGGCCTTGGGAGCGTTGATGGTGAAGCTGGCTGATAACATCGAGGAGCGCTCGGAGTGGAGTTTTGGGGATGACTGGGTAACCATTCTTTCGTTTTTTGGATCGTTCGGGCTAGTGTTTGTTCTCGTCTGGCTCGTTCTGAGATGCCGGAAACCGCGGTTGAAAACCATTTATGACCTTGAGAAGGGCCGGTACATTACTACCACTCGCCTCCATCGATAAAAGAAAGAAAAAAAAAACCTTCTATCAACATTTTTGCTGCTCGAAGAAGCAAATGGTTCTTTCAGAGTTTGTACCGTCCCTACATTATCGATCTCAAATTAGCTGTAATCAATAATCCAAAGGGAACAAAGCTTACTTGCAAACTCTCGCTCAGACTAGACTTCCATGCGCCAGAGAGCTCGGCATGTCTCAAACTCAGATTTCTCCGTGGTGTCGAGCTTGAATTCGCTCCTTAGTCGCTTTTGCTCGTCCAAGATGCCTAGGAAAGGAGAAAACACGTCAAGGCTTTCGAGAGATACTAATCTCTAGAGATGTGCTTACTGCCTGTAAGTATAGAGCTCCCAATAGACTCGGTGTCCGGGACGATCCTAGTGACTTGTGCAAACAAAGAGAGCTCGTGACTGGAAGCAAAACGAAGAGAGTGAGAAAAAAAAAAATGGTGCTATCATCACGTGTTGTGCTGCTGGAGCGCTTCGAGCTTTTTAAGTTCTTCCTTCTTGGCCTCCAGGGAGTTGAAACGAGTTTCGATCCTGTTCACTTCGTCTTTTAGAACTGTGGAAAAATCAAGAACTAGTGTCAAGAATGCGAAGAACAAACATACAAAAATTTCGAGAGTGAAATCACATGACACTTATCTGGTTTCTTCCTCCAAATCCTGCTCATGGTCTCTGATTTGTTTGAGCGTAATGGTCAGAGCTTCCAGTTCTGCGTCATTCACTCCCGCATTCTTCAAACGAGCCATCATCTTATCGGTCGCGTCGACTTCCTGCTTCAAATCTAGCCAACAAAGCTTTGAGCAAAGAAAGAGAGAAGACAAAAAAGAGTCATACCTTGGAGCAACCCAGTCATTCGCTCGCGATCCTCCTCCACGGCAGCCCCAGCTTCGCTGAGCATCGCTTCAACTCGCTGGATCACGGCGGCATCGTCGTTGTGGAGCTTCTGGTACACCTCCCTGCAGTGCCGCGCGCTGCTGCCCATCTTCTCCAAGAGATCCATCGCCACCGCAAAGCCCTCCATTAACCCTCTTCTTTCTCTTTTCAAAATGTAGGGCTCCTGGCGCTTATAGGCGGGAAGAAGAAGCTCCGGGGGCGTAGAGATTGGAGAGCAATAGCAGCGATGTGGAATCCAGATCCACAGCACCCTTTGCCGCGACGCCTCCCTGCTCGAGATCTCTGTCCCGGCCGCAAGCTCCAAGCAGGGATCGAAATTCCAGGCCATCCGGCTCGAATGGCATGCTGCTCAGGAGATTTGTGGCGTCCGCGACTGATCCGGCCCGCGCTAGCAGATCTACCATGGAGCTGTAATGCTGCCGTGTGGGATTCTGCCCGAAATCCCTCTCCATCGAGTGGAAGCACGATTTCCCTGCCTCGACGCTGCCACCATGGCTGCACGCCACCAAGAACAGGGCAAAGCTGCTGTCGTCGGGCTCCTCCGTGAGCATCAGCGTGTGGAATCCCTGGAACGCGCCAGCGGCATCGAGATTTCGAGCCAGCGCCGCGATGAAAGTGCTCCAGGAGACGAGATCTCGCTCCGGCATCCGCTGGAACAGGGAGACTACCTTCTCGCGTTGCCCGTGGAAGGCGCTTGCCGCGAGAATCGTGTTCCAGGACTTGAGATTCCTCTCCTCCATGAGATCGAAGCTCGCCTTCGCGCTCGCGAACTCGCCGCAGTGGCAAAACGCGCTGAGCAAGACGTTCCTGGATATAAGATCCCTATGCGGCATATTCTCAAACACGCACTTGGCGTATTCCAGATGCCCGGTCACGGCATATGCCGTGAGCATCGAATTCCACGTCACGAGGCTGTGCTGCGGCATCTCGTCCATGAGAATCTTCGCATCTTCCACCCGCCCGGCCTGGCCGTACACATTGAGCATGACGTTCCACGTCACCTGGTTGCGGCGGGCCAGGCGGTCAAACATTGTGCGGGCCTCGTCCACGGGCAGCAAACACAGCATCGCGTTGTACGACAGGAGGTTGTGGTACTGCATGCTCTTGAATATTCGCCTAGCCCCGGCCATGTCGCCCCTCTGCGCGAGCGCACTAAGCATCGAGTTGTCCAGCACTACGTCCCTGTACGGCACTCGGTCGTACATCTCCTTTGCGTTGTCCAGATGCCCGTTGAGGGCATATGCGAAGAGCATACTGCTCCAAGATACCGAATCCCAGAAGGGCATGTCGTTGAAGATGCGCGTTGCTTCCTGGATATTACCTGCCTGGGAAAATGCCACGAGCATGGTGTTGCGAGACACAAGATCGGTCTCATGAAAGGTGGCAAAGAATATCCTCGCATCTTCGAGATGCCCTGCCCGGGCATATGCCGCAAGCATAGCATTCCACGATACCATGCAATGCTGCGGCATCTTGTCAAAACACCTCTTTGCGTTGGGGACGTCTCCTTCTTGGGAATATGCTGACAAGATTGCATTGCAGGAGCTTAGATTCGTTGCAGGCATCATGTGAAAGATGCGCTTGGCATCTTCCAAATGCCCGTTTTGGGAATAAGCTGATAGCATCGCATTCCATGACGGGAGGTCCAGTTCTGGAATGTCGTCAAAGATGAGCTTAGATTCCCTTAAGTTGCCATTTCGAGCATATGCAGAAAGCATGGCTGTCCAGGATACAAGGTCCCTCTGTGGCATCCTTCCGAATATTTTTCTTGCCTTTAAGAGATACCCGTTTTGGGCATATACCACGAGCATTGATGTCCAAGCAACGAGATCCGGTTCTGGAATCGCATCAAATATTACCTTAGACTCCTTGAGATTCCCATTGTGGGCATAAGCAATGAAAAGGGCTGTCCAGCAAACGACGCTGTGCTGAGGCATCTGGCTAAAAAACTGCTTAGCTTCCAGAAGATACCCGTTTCGGGTATATGCCAAGAGCATGAGATCCCACGTCATGGAATCTCTGACTGGAGGGTCCATGGAATCGAAAACTCTTCGTGCGTGCATTGTGCTGCCGCATCGTGCATACATTTGGATGAGCTTGTTTATCACAAACACGTCCAAATTTTCTTTGTAGCGCTGACAAACTTGGGAGTGTATAGTTATTGCAATGGAAAGGCTTTTGCAAGATTGTATGGCATACACACAATCCATGTCTCAAAATTGTCATGGATCTAAAAATGGATTGCAGTGACCTGGATAATATATGAACTATTTCAGTTTAGTGTAGGAGGCCTGACATCCAAACATCTCTCCACTCAGAATAAGATAATTTGGGTGGAGGTCGAAAACCTCAAAAAAACCCTCTAATAATGCTTTAATATTCTAGGATATTTTATTAAACAATATATATATAATTTATCTAAACATCTTATTCTACCTTAATAATGTGTTTATAAACTTTCAATTGATGAATTGAATTAGAATAATACCTATTAAACAAACCAAACATTGTTGCATGCAACATATAACAAATATACATACATATCAAACTTAATTATTGTATTATGAAACTTGCCACATGTTAAGTATATTATTTATTAGGTTATTTATTGCTTGTTTAATGTGAGCACTCCCTCATAAGTTATCCTACTAAGGTTTATGACATAAACATATTATGCTTGTTGGATTTTTTCTTTGATGACTGCCATATGTGATATATATACTATTATATTACAAATAATATCTTCAAGAAAAAGTTAAGTACTACTTTAAGAAATAACAAATAATAGTATACTGATATTTCTATATTATAGTATAAAAGTCCTAAGTTTATTAAGGATGATACAAAATTAAGATCAAAATTTTATTTTACCTCTTTAAGGAATTCTATTAACTTTTAAATGATTTTTATGATATTTTATACTTGTTTATATTTTATTTCAGGTTTTGGAGTAAAATATAATAAATATTTTGAAGAGACAAATTATTTAACTGAAAATGAAACTGCAATGGCTCTTGATGAAGGATTTAGTAATCTTTTATCACAAATCAAATCAAGAAATCACATTTACTCTTCAACATATCATAATATATTTATTGTTGATTATAATAGAGTAATTGTAGCTTTCATTTTTCAGCGTTTAGAAGGTTATCCACCTTATTGTTCATCACAAACAATATCACCAGATGTAAACGTTACTGGAAATTCATTAAGAACTGCTTTAAGGCATATATATAATGAAAATCGTAAAACTATATTACAAAAACGTGCAAAAGAATGTGCAATAACATCAAATAAATTTAATTTTGAATATAGTGCATATAGAAGTAAAAACCTTTTAATTGAGAAAAATAAAAAAAGAAACATTAGCTTAAAGGGATCATCATATATTTGTGATTTATCATTAACAACATTGAATGCTGGATTTACCAATAACAAACTTTATACTGACCAGTTTATAGTTTCCATAAATAAGAAAATTATGTTATTATTAAGATCAAATTGTAAAATTTCTCTGTATTCTAAAAGAAATTTGTTTTGGACATCAGATAATATAGATGAATATTTTGGTTTATGTTTACTTATTTTACAAAATGATGGTCATCTTGTATTATATACAGAACATGAAAAAGTAATGTGGTCTACCAAAAAATATTGTAACAATTGTTTTTTATTCACTTTTCTTATAATACAGAATGATTGTAATATGGTAATTTACAAATCAAACACACAAAATTCAATTTGGTGGGATTCCAATACTTTTCATCATGATAAATGTATAAATAATAACTATCCATAAATGTTTATTATATAATTTATAAGAAATTATTTTTTAATCACTTTAATAATAATTCTGTTATGTTAAACTTGATATTTTACTAATCTCTTTATAGAAAAGATTGAGATGGTAATAACATAGATGTGTACTAAACAATATCTAAAAAAGTGTTTTGACGTTATAAAATGTATATTTATAAAAGTCACATGATACAGAATATCCTAAAGATCCTTAATAAAGATGCGTTGTATTATATAACTATATATGAATTTGTGGTTTTCTGATTAGCTCTTATACATGGAGAATATTCTTAAAGTAAGCAGAGTGGTTATTATTATTGTTATTAATATTAAAATTGCTATTATTATTCTATGGTTGTATTATTGTCTTATATTGATTTAATTAAGAGTGTCTAATAGATTTGAATATAATGTTTATCATTTTAACATTTGCTCTTTTAACAATAAAATATAAAGGGCCTTTGAAGACTTATCCCTAACCAAAGATTCTTGTAATTCAAACAGGGAAAATTGTTTAGACTCCTAGCTTTACCTTAATTCTGTTCTTAATATGAAATAATCCCATGAATGAGTTCCAAAAAATTATTAGTGGTTAAATTGGCTCCTTTGAAGGCTCTTAGAGATTTTGAGTTTGTTTTGGGACCACTCTAGCTACCAGAACAAGACAATGAAGAGGATGAGGATGAAGAAGATAAAATTTAGAGTTTGAAATAATCTATCTTGCAATTATTGCTTGAGTGGTTTAAACTAAACAGAGAATTCTCTTAAAAGTAGTAGCCATACTTCTCCACGAGATACTTTTTAAAGGTATTCTGTCTCAACCTGTTCCTTGAGGAAAATCATTCATGTAAAAAGAGCATTTCAATATAATTTAGATGACTTTTGATCGCAGCCTTGTTTTGCTACCAGCTTTTTTTATCCTTAGCAGTCACTCACAATTTCTTGTTGGGCTTTGTTGTAGTAACCTCCTATTGCTATTGATTTAGATTTATACACAACTATAACTGAGAAATCCACAAAGATTTTTCATAGTGATGCTTCACGAGCTCTTCTTATGTTTTTCTCATTCAATGTAACTTCAATATTATGAGGAGGCCTCTAATGTTATAAACACAGCCTATTGGTATTGCTTCTTCCCCAAAATGACAAATTGGTTAGTGCTGTTAATATAATATTTTATTTTTAAATGGCAAACCATGATCGGTGTTGTGTAACCATATAATTTATTTGTTCAATACTTCCATTTATTAGTGTGTTTAATAGGGACTTACCTGGACGGGGTCTATTGGTGATCGTAAAAGCCAATGGCCTAGGTTCAGCCTTCCCATTGCACTTCGGCTTGGCCGGCCTACCATCTTCCCAAAGTGGAGGAGTGGACGTTGTAATTTGTGGAAGTTGAGGGCTCGCGTACGTGCGGCCCTCTCCAAATTGAAAAACCTTAAGTGGGACTATGTTTTTACTTGTTAAAAAGGTCTTTATCATGTAATCATCTTGGAAATTGTCACATTACCCTTATAATTAGCTTATCTGCAGAATGTTCTAAAGTCTCTCGAGAAGAAAATCATATCCTACCGTCATATACAAACTTGTTTACCGTGGTGAATCTACAAAGCAAGGTTCACGTCATCAGGCTCTACGTCCATTACCTCCATTGCACTAACACAAAATTGGAGCTTCTCCACGAACTTGTTCATACAGGCCCGGCATCGGAGAACAAACCAGTTACTCTGCAAAACGCAAGCTTCAGAGACCACAAAAGAAAAGAAACCAAAGGAGAGCTACAAACAATCAACCAAGCACGAACATCACAGCTTACAAACACCAACCTATCGTATTTCAAGACGGCTTCACCAATCTGCCCGGCTATCTTGTTGCGAACCTTTTTAACAAGAATCTACAAAAAACGCGTCATGAGCACGAGGAACAAAAGCGCAGAGAGGAGATTTTACGCAAGTTCTCACGCAATCAACCAAAAACTTGCTCAAAACACACGCACACACAAACGGAAGTTACCTGGACTTGATCCAGAGGACCCTTCTCTGCGTCTCGGTTTCGATGAACTACAATGCCGTTGTCGCACTTGTTAATAAAATGAGCGCTTCCACTTATGTCATACATATTTGGCGGTTGTCCTTGCCAGTTGAGCATCTGTTCAGAACGAACAATTAGATTGCTATTAGGAACTGGACACAAAGAAATTTACTTGTCTCGGATGAGCGACGAACCAAACGTGACAGTCATGGTGTTGAGCAAAGCGTTTGATCTTGGTTAGTATCTGACTAACATATTCTGTTTCAGTCCTGCAAAAGCAAGTTAGAGGAGGGAGGGAATTTACGTTGAAATTTTAAACGATTACTGGCTGCTAGATCGCTGATGGTCTAGTTCATTGTAAGGATCTATGACCAATCCTCGTATGCCATATCTTTGAACCGCTGCTTTTGCTCGATCCAAAACCCAATCAGCAGATGGAAGCTTCTCATTCTCACATCTACAATCGCAGTTACAACTTCGCTTCTCATACAAAACAATGCAAACCTGATTAAATAGAAATGGTTGTCCAGCCATTCTAGACCAGCAGCAAACTCTTCCGGAGTCAGTCTGGGCGTGGAGTTACTATACCTGTCAACGTGCAGTATGCCAGCTTTAGCTATGAGGAAGAAAAACACAGTAAAAAACAGTACTTGGCCTCAAAAAACGGCTTTCTGTAATGCTTCTCAATAAGCTTCCGAGCATGGTCCGTCACCTGGTCACAGAAAGGTAAGTAAATGATAAACGTAAGAAAGCCATACCTTATTTTCCATGGAGCACAGCGCAAAACTCCAGCCTTTGGAGCGGTTCAGATTACAGACCAGTGCATCGATCCACTCACTTTTGCCAGAATTCGGAACTCCGGTCACAATTGTCAATTCTCCAGGAACAACCTACAAAGTCGTCATGTGAATAATAAAAACGATAGCCAAATTCTTACCGTATAATACTCATCTAGTCCCTTCCATCCAGTGGAAGCACCTTCCGCTTCCTCAACACGCATATGGTAGTAATCGTCAATCTCCTTGAAAAAATTAGAGAACTGAAAAAGTCCGCGAATTGGATAGAGCTCCGATTTTGCAATAACTTCTCGCAGCGCTTCTGGCCCGAGCGTCAGCAGCACCTGACGATAAAAAACGCTGAGAGAAGTTCACTGTTAGAAACAAGTCGAAAACCTCGTTAGCGTCTTTCAACTGCTTTCCGTCGACGACTGGCCAGTTCACGCGCCAACAACGCTCACGACCGAAACGTCGAGCGAGTTCCTCGGCAAGAGCAAGTCCGGGACCGTCCGCATCGGTGGCCAGAAATATTCGAGTCACCTACACAAATATTATTTCATGCAAGTTTCGCAACGCAAATACTTCATCGGGAACTCGAACCTTTCCAAATTGTTCCTTGCAATCCCAAAGATATGAGAATTTTTTGTCCTGCAATGCAAAAATATTAAGGTACATGAAATGCGTATGCTCGAACCATAATGCGTACCTCCTCAGGATCTGGCGTTTCACCGTCAGCAGCCTTCACAGGCGCACCATCGGGCACGCTAACGCAGTTTATGATACCAGCTTCTTCCATAGAAAGCTTATCCATTTCACCTTCAACCTGTCAAAAACACCAAAAAGAAATAAGATTGAGCATATAACGCTGGAAAAATGCACACTTACAATGACAACTTCGTCTCTCCCTTTAATATCTTCTAAACCATAGAATGTTCTCCTTGCAGCGCCCCGTGCCTGGCACAAACGGATCAAAACCGAAGCCAAAGCTAAGCGTGTACCTTCCAAAAGCGCTTTTCGGGTATGGTTCGATATTTACAGTCGATGATTTTGTTCTCTTTGTAATAAGGAAATGCAATAGCCAGCTAAACGAGAAGTTATGGTCAAGAATATACACCAGAAAAAGCAAATACCTCTGAGCCACTGTAAATCTGTTCTACTCTATTTCGTTGCAATACTTTTTGAGATATACCACGGGTGGCGAACCATTTGATAACCTGCAAATGTAGTCAGAGTCGTGAAATTCTTCTACTGCAGCTTACATCATCGCTCAAAGGTTGTAAATTCAAGCTTGTGCGTGAAAACTCTGTGATTTTGGGATTTCTCCAATGGTAAGCTGCTGCCATTTGTCGCTTGGTCAAGGCACTTCCGTTCTCATGTGGTACATTTGCCTGATGCCAACAAAGAAAAGAAAAAACACCCGAGTTAGCTATGGATGTCATTTAAATAAATTGCTTCACCTTTCCATGATATCCACAAGTGCTCCGATGGCATTTCCAAATGGCTGTCCATCTACAGAACAAATAATAAAATGTAGTCGCATGAAAAAACGAACAAAACGTACTCGTCCTCAAGCCTCAAAGAAAAGCTGGGCTCGTATGTGGTGCCTCCATTACACTGCCCAAGAGAAAGAAAAACAGTGAAACTTGGACAAAAAAGCTCTTCACGCACCTGGGGACATATTAGACGATGCTCTTTCCCAAGCGTCCAATCATCCATGACAATGCCCAGCTTCTCCAGCTCGAAACGAACAGGCAGTTGATCGTTCTTTCTCAAATCTACAATGACGCTCTCTCAGGGCAACCAAAAGAGAAATAAATCACTTACACGCATTCTCGGATGCGGCAGAAGCGAACTGGCAGACAGGACTCCCTCTCGCGCTGATTTGGAGCTCCCATCTTCTTGGCAAAAAAACTGGCAGAGATTTTCTAGAAGCGGGAAGGAATGGAGAGGAGGAGACCGGCGAATGCCGCTGCAATAGCAGCATCATAGAATTCCTCCACAGGGCAACGCGCAGCTGCGAAGAACTCACCGATTTCAAGCCGAGCTGCTCGACCAGCGCCATGCTTCTCGGCTTAGCTGATTTTCTCCATGGCCAAATGGAGACCTAACGCTTAAGCCCTAAACCCTCTATCCTAAAGCCTTGGGGCCTCAGCCGTCCACGTGGACGGAGTCGGGAGACCAGGGTTCGATTCTTAGCATGAGCAAAAGAGTTTTTTAACGACTCATTAAATTTAAATGTATGAGAGGCGGGAGCTTTAGAAACCCTAGAGAAGGAATGCCGGGAAGGTCGAGAAGGCGCAAGGGTTTGCAGCGCCATCCCAAGGTACTGCGAGCTGTGTATGGCGATCGCCTGCGATTTCTATGGCAGCTGGTGCTGGAGCTCCTCGGCCGCGGCCGCGACGGAGCAGGGATGCTGTTCCAGGAAGGGGATTCGGCCGATTACAAGGAGCTCTTGTATGATAGCTATGCGGTCCTTTCTGAGAGCGCCCCGTCGCTTAATACTGCTGCATTTTCACTCGATCAGCGGTGGTCGCAGCAAGAGGTATTTCTAGCTTTGTATTGTAATGGATCGGTAGCAATTTTTTTTTTTTCTTAGCTAGGTTGTTCACAGGGTCATTGAGCTGCAATTCAGGAAGAGCGAACGACCGTCTCATGTTTTATGCTTTGGGTACCAGCAGGTCAGTTGGTGTTTACTAGAAATGAAAATGACTAGCTTTCTGGTTTTCGGTTTTTCAGAATTTGGAGTGCCTATTTCGCAGCACAACTGTGGATGCTGTAACTTCCACTGCGTGGTGTGTTCTTCATTCCCGTGTAGGCAAGATTTTGTTTGTTTGGCCGTGGCTCTTGAAAACTTCTGTTTTCTTTTATACTTGCAGGTGATCTCCTCATGCTACACTTGCTATCTCATGCTGCTGTATTCGCTTCTCTTCCAAATTGTTGCTACATGCAAGTTTCGGGTACTCCGATCACTTTGCTAGCATCAGCTAGCCAGCGACGGATATCGCAGGAGTTTTTGAGTTTTATTTCGTCAAGAAGCCATGAAAAGTCCTACACTCTTGAAGGTAAGCAGGCTTTGTTCTCCTTGCTTCTTTATTTTTTTTGTCAAAACAGGTGTGATAAATGAAAATTCTCCACAATCAATATCACAGATTGAACCTCAAGGTGCAGCTTTTAAAAAGCGTAGAAGACCTTTCAGCTGGCAACGAAGGAAAAAGCAAAAAGTAATATTTGTGGTTCTCCGTTTCTCCGATTTATTTGATAATCCTCAGGTGGTGGAGCGCTTGGAAAGTGTGCCTGCAGCCTGTCATAGACAGATTGATCGTGCACAGATGTTTTATAGCACTTGTTTTAACAGGAAGGGGGGACTGCCAAAAACTCGTATCCTTTAGTAATTTGAATTTGTTTCTGGTAAATCCTTGACCAAGGCAGATATTCTTTTTACATCAGCAGCTAGTAAGGACGGGGGAGCTGCGTGGTTGTTCGAGTCAATATTTGGAAGCAAAACAACCGAAAAGAGGTACTTGTCGATGAGCTTTGTGCGTTAAGTTTCTGAAAATATCTTTCACAGCTACCCACCTTCTATTTTGCGGCTTCTGAAGAGACTAATCTGTCGCGCTAAAAAGTTTCAGTGTGGCCATCTTTTGAAACGGCACTGTCCTGTGCCAATTTTGCCACGGAAGGTATTGCTGCCAGAATATTTCGTATGTTCTGAGGATAAGCGTGCAGGAAATCGATGGCAATCTTTACTTTAAAGATATGTTTCTGAATGATGGATATGTTACTCAAGAGGAATCTCGTGGAGATTCTTCATGTTCATGCAAGTCAGTGCCTGATCCAAGGAAAGGTAGCACCAAACCAAAAAATGAGAGGCCTTTATCAGAGCTGCTGGCCATGACCTCGACCAACCATCAAGTTGTGGCATTCTTGTGGGCTGCTTCCAGGAGGCTCATACCCCAGGAAATGCTCGGGTCTCCCAAAAACTGGAGAGCTCTTCGAAAGCAGTATGCACGCTTTGTTGGACTTCGGAGGTACGAAGCATTTTCCTCGGTTCAGCTGTTGCAGAAGCTTAAGGTTTCCGACTTTACTTTTCTGAGCAAGCGGGATACAATCAAGGAACTCGAAGGAGTTGGATATTTCAGAAGTCAAATGGTAGAAGACTGGCTATACTGGATTTTTACAAACGTATTGGTTCCTCTGATACGTGTTCACTTCTACGTTACAGAGAGCGAGAATCAACGGCAAAATGTGGTGTTTTACCGGAAGCCTATATGGTCGCAGATTCAGTCTGCGGCTGTTCGTGATCTATCAAAGACTGTCTACAAACGTGTGGACGCTGACAAAGCCCTCAGGAACCGAGCACTGGGATTCTCTAAAGTCCGGCTTCTTCCGAAAAAAACGAGCGTCAGACCAATAGCTAATCTCGGCTCGGCATCAATCTACGTGGTCAAGCGTAAAGACTCCACCTTTCCGAAGTCCAGGAAAGGAAAACGGGTTGTTCATGTCAGCCATCGAAGGAGATCATCCGATCTAAGTTCCGGTTCCAGGGGTGATGGGAAAATTCAGACAGTTTATTCGTTCAAGTCCGTCAATTCTGCTCTCGGGGATGCTCATCAGTGTCTGAAGCTTGAGCAAGAAAGTCATCAAGGTGATCTTGGCGCGTCTGTATTCGGCTACAACGACATCTACTTGAAGCTGCTTCCTTTCATCCGACGTTTCAGACAACGAGAACCAACGAAAATTTTTCTGGCTGTTTGTGACGTCGCTAATGCGTTCGACACTATCGATCAGGAACGGCTTTACAGCATTGTTGACAAGTTCTTGCACGAGGAGAAGTACGTTGTTTTGCGGTTTACTTCCGTCCGTAGCAGGCTGGCATCTGTCCGAGTGCTTCACGAGAAAGCCTGTGCTACTGCGGGGAGTGATGGGAGGGTCTACAACTTTGTTCGAAACTTGACAACTAAGCGCTCCGAAACAATATTTACTGATCAGGTTTGTTCTTTGGTTATTACAGGGCGTTGTATTACTAACAAATCGTTACCACAGGCCTATCACTCTAATGTGTCAAGAGTGCAGCTATTGAGAGTTCTCAAAGAACACATAAAATCCAATATCTTGCACCTCGGCCACAACTTCTTTCAACAATTTACCGGTATTCCTCAAGGCAGCGTACTTTCGTCTTTCCTATGCGCGTTATACTATGGTTACCTGGACTTGCGCCACATACTACCAGCTTTACAAGGGAAACCTCAGGACGGCCTGGTGAAGGAAGAGACCACAGACGAGGCTCTTCTTATGCGGCTGGTGGACGACTCCTTATTTATATCTACGTCTGAAGCAAAGGCAACACTTTTCTTGAACGTAATGCACAGGGACCTCGAACAGTTCGGATGCTGTGTCAACGAGGACAAAACATCTACAAGCTTTGATACTGACATTAGTGGGAAGAACGTGAAGTCCATGTATTCGACTGAAGATGGGGCTTGTTTCATGCGATGGAGTGGTTTGCTCATCAACTGTCACACTCTTGAAATCCAAGCCGACTATACGAGGTTCGTTTGAAAGCGATCACGTTTCTTGTATGTTCTGACATGTTTTTACAGATACTGCGGCGAACACATCAGATCTAGTCTGACGGTCATGAGGTGCCACAAACAAGGACTAAATCTGGTTGTGAAGATGTTTCATTTCATGAGGCCGAAATGTCATCCGGTATTTTACGACTCCGAGATCAACTCAGCATCAACGATATCCTTGAACGCATACCAAGCGTTTCTTCTTTGTGCGATGAAGTTTCATGCGTATTTGAAGTGCTTACGGCCATTCAACGTCAATAATCCACTATTCCTTTTCCAGGCAATTCGAAGAACGACGAGGTGAGTTGTATTCCTGAAGATAACAGTGACCGAGTCTTTTTCCAGGTATACCTTTCGATTGATTCGGCAAAGAATGCAAGCCGTGGGATCTGGGAAAGTATTGAGCCGAGCAAAAGAAATGGAGTGGCTAGGCTGGGCAGCGTTTCACAAAGTACTTTCGAAGAAGCAAAGCACTCACAAGCGTCTACTGTTACTGATTCAGAGAGAACTCAAGCTGGACAAATACAAGCACTACCGTTCTGCCCCACATATGCTTTCAGCAACGGACGAGACGCGTTCTTCAATGTTCAAAACTATCAGGTATTGAGTTTTCTTTTCTAAAAACTGCATCTCTGAAGGGCAGTGTTGATAAAAGGTTTTGAAGGAAATGATACGGGGGGAACCATTTGCTACAGCAGGACATCTCAGCTTCTTGCAAGACAGCATTCCAGGTTCAGAGAGGCCAGATAGGAGCTCAGGGAGAAACGGGCAGGTATCTCAAGGAGACTTACGGGCTTATCACTATTTTCATCTGGATGGGAAGCGGCCAGACATTTCCCTTACTATCGCCGCTCTCAAGTTTTGCAGCCGCGCCAAGGACTTAGAGAACGGAAAGAAGATTCACGGCTACGTGGTCGAGAGCAGGGAAGACAGAGACGTCTACGTTGCGAACGCGCTGCTGGCTATGTACGCAAAATGCGGCAGCCTGAGTGAGGCCCGTAAGACTTTCGACGGTATACTGCAGCCGACAGTCGTTTCATGGACGTGTGTGATCTCGGGATATGCAGACTGTGGAGAGGCAGGCTTGGCTTTGCAACTGTTTCAACGTATGAGGGAAGAAAACTGTCTGCCGAACCGTGTCACATTTTACGCTGCCTTGAAGGCCTGTTCTGGCTTAGCGGAGGTGGAAGAAGAAGCTAAGCAAGCGGACGGAAGGCTCGTAAAACTTGTGTCACTGGAGAAGGGACGGGAAATCCATGCTCAGGCTGCAAAGTTTGGGCTAGACAGGGACACTTTCGTGGCGAGCTCTTTGGTGGACATGTATGGGAAGTGTGGGAGTATGGAAGACGCTCGCAGAGTTTTCGACAAGATTCAAGGCTGCCAAGACGTCGTTCTGTGGAACTCCATCATTCTCGGCTATGCTGAATGTGGAGACGGTTGCGCGGCACTCGAGTTGTTCGAGGACATGCAACGGAAGGGGTTTACACCGAACGCTCGGACTTTCGTCGCTGCTGTCAAGGCTCTGGCTTGCTTAGCCACACCCACGGAAGGTATCCTCCAAGCGGCTCAGTGCGACGAGAAGACTTTCATCAGGTGGTGCCTCGTCAAGGCCAGAGATATTCACGCCGTGATCGAGAGCAGTGGACACGCAAGGAACGTATTCGTGGCCAGCTCTTTGGTGGACATGTATGGGAAGTATGGAAGTCTAGCGGAGGCAAGGCGTGTCTTCGACAACATGCGGCTTCACGACGCCGTGTCCTGGAACTCCATGATCCTGGGATACGCAGAGGCTGGGGAGCACGAGATGGCTTTGGAGCTGTATCAACGCATGCAGAGAGAAGGCTGTGAACCAAACCGAGTGACTTTCGTTGCTGCGCTCAAGGCCTGCTGTGGCTTGGGAGCTCTGGAAGTGGGAAGAAGTATAGAGGCGCATGCGGTGGACTTGAAAATGGAGGGTGATATCGTCGTTGCGACTTCGCTGGTGGATTCCTACGGGAAGTGTGGCTGTGTGGCTGATGCGCAGCGGGTTTTCGACGCATTCCCGGCAACGAAAACCAAAGGCCTGGTTACTTGGAATGCGCTGATCGCGGGGTACAGCCGCCAAGGGGACTGCAAGATGGTCTTCGAGATCTTCGAGAGCATGCACAGGAAACGCTTGCAACCGGACGGGATCACGTTTCTATCAGTTCTCGCCGTGTGCTGCCATGGCGGACTGGTGGAAGAAGGCAAGAAGTACTTCCAGGCCATGCTTCCAAGCTACTCGGTTTCTCCCACAGCCGAGCACTATGGTTACATGGTCGAGCTGCTGGGCAGTGCAAACCAGCTCGACGTCGCCGTGGGCATGGTGAGGAGCATGCCTGTGCGGCCGAGTTTGAGCATCTGGATCACGCTCCTGGGAGCGTGTCGGAAGTGGCGGAACGTAGCTATCGGAGAGCTTGCATTCGAGGAAGCAGTGAGACTGGACGAGAAGAATGCCTCGGCGTATGTGTTGATTGCGGCGATTTACAAGGAAGCGGGAATGGGGGAAGAGAGCGCTCGAGCCCAGGCAGCTTTGCATATTCTTTAAATTACTCTTGTTATGCGAATAAAGAACTTTAAAGTTTAGAGTTTAGGGTTTTAGATCGAGGTTCTACCCTCGTACAGCTTTTATGGAGATTCAGTGATTGAGGGAGGAAAGCAGTGGTACATTTGATAAAAACCAGCCAAAAGAGACGAGGACGATTCGGTCATTGTGCTACTTTGGAATCCAACGAGGCAATTGCAGCTGCAGCACCAAATCAAGGCAAGGATCAGACTTTGGCTTTAATCTCTGGTGCTGAAGGCTGCACGTCTCTTCCCGCGAAGTATAATTGCTCTGATCAAGTGTTTAAGTTCCGATGGAGATCTATACAATTTCAATTTCAAGGTCAGTTCGTGATTGCCATATGTTTTTATATGTTTGTAATGATCTTGCGAGAAATCACGGGTGGTGCTACGATCCACCTATTGAGCCAGTAGCGGAATGTGTATTGGTGAAGAACTTTTCTGGAGTTGTCTGGAAGTGGAATATTTTCCACTCTTTTACTAGGTCACCAGGAGCTCCTGACGAGAAAGGCCAGCCTAGCTCCAGCAGAATGACCCACGAGCTCGTCCATGCAAGCTCCCGCAGCTGATGCACAGTGAGTTTTCGACCAAAGGAAGCTCTGAGACTGAATTCCTTAAAAGCACATACTATAAAATTAAATTTAATTGAAAAAGCAAAAGCTTATATAATGTTGAAAGAATTACTATATAGCAGGTTAAGTTTATAAAAAAGGCTGCTTGGACTGAGCTTATGTTAGAAATTTAAAAGGATCATATATCTATTAAATATATTTGTAGCACTGATAAATATATATTTTTAATATCAGCTCCAGTATTGGACTAAACATTTCATAAATAAGGTTAAATGTAAATCAGTATACACTACAAGAAACTTTGGGATAAAAACTACACTTATTTTAATTTTATAAAAAATAATATTATATAAAAAGATATGAGTATGGGAATAAGAAGGGTTATCCCTACTTAATGGATAAACTAAATTTAGTCATAAATAGATGGTAAATATGTTATACTACTATAAATAGTGTATTATCTAGGCAAGGTATATATGTATATATATATATATATATATATATATATATATATATATATATATTACAAACCTTACACCATTCCTCGCTAAAAGATAGAAAGGTGACAATGATAAATTAAGTGGAACATCTACTAAGTGATTATAGATTGCTATAAGAATTTGAAATTTTTATGGAACTATTAATGTAGTTACTAGCAACTATGACTAAATCAAAACCTAAAGTTATAGCATAATATTAGTCAAATACAAAATCCCAACAAATCAACAACAATTATGTGTGTAAGTATCACATGTTTGAACCAACCTCAAAATCACAACTCTGAATCAAAGCAAAGGACTTCAAAGGCAATTGCAGTTTATTAAATACCATTGCAGAAAATAATAAATTTTATCTTTACATATGCCCTTTGGTAAATCTTTGAAACCACTATTAACTCATACTCACAACCATTAATAAAATTTATCTATGTGTCATCCTTATGGTTAACTTTCATGACCTATGCTAACTCAAACTCATTACTTTAGTTCTCATCTAACATTGTATATGGGAGGTTGAACTCATTTTATTTGTTCTCTAGTGTATATGATTTTCACCCTTTATCCTATAGTGATTTACTATATAATAACTATGAAGTAGAACCTAAACCATCCACATGCCACGTGTTATATGCCACATGCCACATGTCCAGGGACAGTAGAGCGAAACTCAAGTTTCAGAGCTTTGGGCCACTGAATGAAAGAACAAAGCCAAACTCCTAAGCATGGAGCTAAGGAGCAAAATAACTAGATCACAAAAAGACTTTTGAGTATACAGTCTAAGGAGTGAAAGAATATGAGCATGGAATGACTTGAAACAGTCTTAAAGCATTCAACATCCCAATGCCAAAACCAACACGCAAAATGGAGTTAAATGGAATTTGGCACTATTTCAGTATACCAATGGTCTAACGTGAGGATATGAATATGCCACCAGCTAACATGGTGTGAAATTTAGATAGAGATTTAAGCCAAATGCAAAACAAAGGTAAATATGCAAATGGGAATTAGATTATATCTCAGGTTGGTTAGCCATGCCTGACCTACCCACTATCCTTACTATACATTTGGAACTCTATACTTCCCCCCCTTTGAAGAACACATCTTTTGGGCTTTCACTTTTAGCCACCTTTAGTACCAAAAGTTAACTCGAAATTACTAAATATAGAATGGTATTAGATTGCCAATTTGGACATGGGACCAACACTATTGTGTTCAAGACAATCTTTACATTCTATAGATATGCTAAATTAGTAAATCTAGATGCTTTTTATAAATAACAATTGGACCGAATAGAATTAACATAAAGTGCATAATATCAAGGATGCTTGGTAAACATGGTAAGTTATCATTTTGTGAATATTTAGGGATCAAACTCAATATCATGAGGGTTCCTAACACTAATAAGTGCAAGCCAATATATAAATTTCTACTATCGGGCTGAATATGCTCAACAAAAAACACATAAGAGTTCATACCTTATGTTTATTTGGCATAAGTACATACATGATAATTGGTTGCTCAACTAGTTTGAGTGGAGACTAATAAAGGATTTAACAATATTGACCTTCTCCTGTCGTGGCAGTAAAGAAAGAATATATGAAAGTATTAACTAACAAATAACTTTTGATACCCGCAGTTACATTCATAACATAAACTTACTACACTTGTCCTCATTCTGCCAATTATGTTTGGCTTCACTCTATTATCATATTTATTCAACCTCACTACATTGGGGTTAAATGTTATGTTTAGACTTGTTACATTCATCCTTACTTTACAATCTACTTGCTCCACTTTTATATTTATTCATTCTCACTTTATTGTTAGGGTTGGACTCTTGTCTATCGAGTTGATAATTAGTCTCTAGTTGTTATAAAAAAAAAGTTGGAAGTGTTTGAGCAAAGAGAAGAAATTACATATCTTGAGAATTTAAGAAACATTACAATTTGTCCTTGGAAAACAAAATTCTTTTCTAATGATTTACAGTGTTTGAGATTATGCTTTTACTTTTGTTCTATTATTCTTCTTTTCTCTTTAGAGCTTTTCACCATATTTAGGATTATCATTATTTAATCTAATGCAACTTTAGATCCTCAATTATGGCA